GAAATTGATTTCTTGTATGTCTTCAGTGTTAAGCTTTCTAGTATGTGCTAATACTAGCATGTAATATTGAATACATTTGAGCCTTGTATCAGAATTTGAATTACACTTTCCCAAATTTGTTCTAATAAACATCGGTGGTAACTTGCCTGTGTTTGGCCAAGTGGGATGGGCATAGTTAGGGTTGGCCTCAATCCATAGACACTATTCAGTTTCTTCATTCTCTCATGTTTCTTTGCTTACTCAGACACGACAGGAGCTGCCGCAGAGCTCAATTGTTGTATAATCCCCAGGTGTGCCTCCTTTTCATCTGCCTCAATACTTGTGTGTTGAGGCATCAGTATGTTTATATCTCTAAGGAAAGGTATATATGTGTGTACATATAGCTCACTTTTTACAAATAAGACACATTAGTTTTATAGATCTCAAGTTACATATAAGCCAAAAATGAAACTAACTTAACTGAGTGCAAAGAAAATATTGTTGTAATAAAAATTAAAACATATTTTTAAGAATATTACAAAAATGGGAATGGCTATTGGGATAAAGATAAAAATTATACACAGGACCTGTCATCCCTAATTTTGGTCCTTAAAGTTCTGGGTTAGAGTAAAGTTAAACAGGAAACATTTTACATGTTTCAAATATACAGACTTTTCAACATGACTCCTATCAGGGTCAAACTGCTAACTCTAAAGTCTATAGTGAGAAGAGAAAAGTTTTCTAGGACACACCAGAACGACTTGTTCTGAAAAGCCTACTGTCCCAAATTCACCATCACGAAACTCTAATTTTTTTTTTTGAGACGGAGTTTCGCTCTTGTTACCCAGGCTGGAGTGCAATGGCGCGATCTCGGCTCACCACAACCTCCGCCTCCTGGGTTCAGGCAATTCTCCTGCCTCGGCCTCCTGAGTAGCTGGGATTACAGGCACACACCACCATGCCCAGCTAATTTTTTTGTATTTTTAGTAGAGACAGGGTTTCATCATGTTGACCAGAATGGTCTCAATCTCTTGACCTTGTGATCCACCCGCTTTGGCCTCCCAAAGTGCTGGGATTACAGGCTTGAGCCACCGCGCCCGGCCGAAACTCTAATTTTTTATTGACATCTAACACTTTCTTCTTTGTATCTCTGCCATACTTCTTAGGGGCTATCACTAATTTCTAAGCCCAATGTCTCCAGTTGTGTGAAAAAGGCAAAAGAATAGCCATCATGCAAGTGTTAAGCTAGTCAAAACACCCTCATTGGAAAGTTTCAGCAGAAAGTTTTCTCTTTGGGGTTTTAATTAAAATCATAACAGTTCTATTGTTTAAGCAAAAATAACAGATGGAGAGAGAGGTTAAATACTTCAATTTAGGCATAAAATGTCATCTGCACATTAATTTTTTGCTTTTAATAATTAAATCCTTACACTGTTTTCATTCTCACATATTTGAGGAGATATAAATATAACAGTTTGTGGGTTTAATGGAATCCCTCCCTAAAGGTATGTTGAAGTTTTAACTGTTGGTGCTCATGAATTCGACCCTATTTAAAAATAAGATCATTTTGAAGATGTAATCAAGATTAAATCATACTAGATTAGGGTGGGTCCTAAGTTCAATCACTGTCTTCATAAGAGGAGACACAAGACAACTGGCTGTTGAATGCTTTAACTCCTTTAAAGATTAAATTATCTCTGAAGATAACTTCCACAGAATGCAAAACTGGAGGCAGCACAGAATATGATCCATGTACCTCATATAAACAATGTTAGGCATCTGCATTAAATCACTGGCTATCTCTAATCACCATTTTTTTTTTTTTTGCCTAAAACATATCTAGTCTGGATAATTTTTAAATTATCATGGGGTACAAGAGTATTCCCTCCATTGTCAGGGAACCAATATGAGAAACCTGCCACTAAGTCAGTCTGTTTCCACTATGCATTCTGGGACTGAGGAAATAACCATAGGATGGGCCTGTGATCCCACTGGCAGAAGCAAACCCTATCGGAGTTGGATTCAGGCCAAGACTCTATCTCCTGACCTTCCTAAGTCTCCACTCTGATTATGGGCCACTGTAGTGTTTGGAAACCATGAGAATTCACATAATTAGAGCCAATATCCAAATCCCCATGGAGGTCTGGGTATTTCCTTCTCCCTCATGCATGGCCATGGTTGTCAGAGTGACCACAGAGACCCCTGGGAAGGCCTGGAGAAAGATTTGCACAATGCCTCAATGGCTACATTTCGGGAACTTTCTTAAAAGGTCTTTCTGAAGCCACTTCGGGTCCAGAAATTGGCTTAAGTCTCAAAGTTGAGTAAGGTGCTATGAATTCCCAATATAATTCCTTAGGTCATATTTCTGTCCAGGAGACCCAGAAATTGTTCACCTCTATGTCAAGCTGCTCCTTCAAAGGAGGCACATCTAATTTCATTCTAGGGTCTCCATGATGCACTAGCTGTCACTGGCAGGCCAACACCTGATTACCACTGTTTCCTAAGGCATGTTACAACTGTGTCTGCTTTGTCTCCAGATGTGAGGTGCTGCTGTATGGTTTACCAAGCCCCAGAATCTCATTTCCATTTTGAGGATCTGTTTCATGAGACCACTTCTGGTACCAGTTACAGAATTAGTCCCATTAAGACATGGCTCATTTGAAAGGAATGAAAGAAAATTGAATGAAGAGATGCTACAAAAGTGTGAGAAGGGTTGCAGGAAACCAAAAAGGGATCCCTAGCCCTGAAAGGAAAGCAGGAGTGTGGTGGCTTTCTAATGTGTCACTTTGGCTCAGCTGATTCTATGTTCCCCAGAATTCCCTGTATGTTTCCAGTGAGGGTGGGTCACAGAGGATATCTTGGCATAAGATCTGGAGGGTGGTGGCAAAGGAACAATCATTTTGTTTTTATGCTTAGAAAGGCTTCTGGCCCCAACACGTTTCTTACCTGCTGGTTCTTGTTGGCGTGGCTCAGTAGACAAGCCTGTGGCTGCTCTTCTTTCCCCAGGATCTTCTCCAGCTCTTCCAGCTCCTGGGATATGTGTGTGCTTAGCAACACGACAAATGGCACCAACCTCTGTAGGACACCCACATCATTTAGGTAGAAGACAGTAAAAACGACCATAGCTTTGTGTGTGGGTTCCAGCTTGTCTTTGTACTATCTCACTTAGTATTCACTTTCCCTACTTGCTTGGCCTGCAGACTTCAAGTGGCAGCATCAGCCATGAGGACAGTCACATAACAGGCTTCCTACAGTACCCTGGAGTCAAGTTTTGATAACAAACCTATCTACGGAACATACATATGGTTCTGCTGCTCTGATTGAACTCTAAATGATACAGGAAGGAAATGACTTTTGGGATCTGGGAATAGCTGTAGCTGCAGAAGAGGGCCACAAACAGGGTCTCAACCAGACACTTGATGGCAAGAGACCTCAGTTGATGCAGTTCATAGAGGTCTGCCCCAAGCATGTAGAGTCAGGTAGAGAGTGGTTCTGGAGGAATAGAGTATCCAGAAGCATCAGGCTTCTGAAGTATAACACTTGCTGTAGATATGATGGAGTAATGTGTTTTAGGATATGCAAAGAAAGTTAGCTGGGCATTTTCTAACCAGACTGATCTTCAAACATACATAAAATCCATAGGCAAACTGTGAACATATAATAATTCAGAGACTGTTATATCCATCTTAAAGAATAAGCTATCATTTTAAATTATATTCCAGGTGAACAGGGAGAGAAGAGGGAAGAAGAGTACCAACTAATTTCATTATTGACTAACAGTAAGACACTAATATAGTATCTTTCCTTTAGTCCCTGCAAATAACAGGGATATTAAGGCATTATGTAAAGATATCAGTATATTAGTAACTGACAGAACAGAAATACAAATGCTCCACAATACTATGTAGTGAATGACAAATAGGAAGATAAAATAATCTGGCAGAACTGAAACTAAATGTGTCATATCCATAATACCAACTTATGGAATTACCTCCCATTCTCTCTCGTATAATCTTATTCCCCATTTCATTGCAAAATAGAAACAATTATAAAAAATAAATTCACAAACTTCCACCACATCAACCCATATGTGTGAGTGAGCTGGCACGGCATGACCATTGCCTATTCTCTTAAAAAGGCTACCTTTCCCCCTTACACATAGGTTCCAACCCATCTCACCTATGCAGAACATCACTCCAACATGTCCCCCTCTCTATGGAACATTTCCCATCAGTCTATAAACATGCATTTATCGCTATCTCTAGAAAGAAGCCTCCATTGACTACACTTCACTCTCAAGTTACTATGCCATTTCTCTTGCCTTAAGTACAACTCCTTGAAAGGGCTGTTTGCAGTAATTGTTTCCAGTGCATCTCTTCTCACCTTTCTTGAGAAACCACTCCATTCTTACGGTGGCCGCCTGTGGTAGCTAGCCTCTGATAACGGCTCGAGGTCTCCACCTCCTGGTATTCATGCTTCTGTGTGATTCCCTTCCGCAGCACATCGTGGTTGGTCTGTGCGACCAATTAAACACAGTGAAAGTGACAGCTGTAATTTCTTTAGGTCTTGAAATTTGGTGTCGTCTTGTGCTCTTCATTTTTATTCTGCTTAGGGTTCATGAAACTTCTTGGACTTGTGAATTTACATTTTCCTAAGATTTGAAAAAAATGGTTCCAACATTAAAGGATAAATTTAGACAAATTTGGCACAAAAATTAGGTATTTTTTTCTTTACTACATTAGTTTTAAAGTGAAAGGTAACTTAATTCACAATAGCACAATAGCAACCAAATCTTTGAGGTGACTATGAATACCTTTCACAGAAAAAGAGCCAGATCAGTATACACACATACACATGTATATACTTATATATACCAACACATGCATATGTGTGTACACACACATTTATCCATCCTACTGAAGGACATAAGAACTAAATAAATGGATAAATCAATCATGTTCATATTGGGTTCACCATTTTACCTCCATTTAAACAATAACAAAACAAATAGCAGACAGGAGTCAGGATGAAATTTTTATTACTGATCAAATTGAGTTGGAGGATGCAACTTAGTGTGATCTTTCAGGTAATGGGCCAGTTAGCTGAATGACAGAATTAGACCAATTTACCAATCACAGGCAGTAACTGTAACAAGAAATTGTACTTGCAGGACAGCCCACAATGAAGAAGAAATTGAGCTGAGCAACCCCAGTTACCCATCACTCTTAACAATTAGATAAGCCCCCTTCATCTTCCCTGGGGCAGAATGCATAATGTGACAGAGAGGCTAGGAATGGGTAGAGGGAAAACCCCACTCGTGGAAATCAGGACTTGAAAGGTAAACACTTCCCAATAACCCCATATGAGTGGCAATCCTATCTCATCACATATATCCATACCATGTAATCCTAATTGGCTTTGCAGGGGCGTTTTGTTCTCAGAATTTGGTAAGTGACTTCTAAAGAACACCTCTATTGAAGATATTGATTAGGAAATCCAAGAGATCTTTGAAAACATACTAATTGACATAAACCACTGGTAGATAGGGTTGAGTGGATATTAGAGAACACTAAAACCAGAGAAACACTTTTTGGATTCCACCATCATCAGAATTCTTTTTGGTGCTCAAGAATGCTCACTTCTGCATGTTTTTCCTACTGCAATTGCTGTTTTCTTGACTTGGCTGAAAGCTTCAGTATCACAAACTAGTTATCCTGTGCCTCTCTTCCATTAGAAAGGTCTTAGGAACAGCTTTCATTAGCTCAGCTTTACCAAAACTCATCTGTGGTATAATTACCATGGGTGCATGAAGTACCATGGTTAGTTCTCCTGAGTTGTCACCTTTGCAGATAAAGCTATATAGTATGCTAGTCTGCTACTAGAAGACTATGGAGTTAGCAGACAATAAAAAAGCTGCCTAATCTGAAAATACACCATAAATTGAGAAACTGAATTACTCAACTATCACAGGAACAATGGTATTGATTTGAAATGGAGGTCAGATCCTCACACCTCATAACATATACTACCAAGTAACACTGTGTGGAGGAACCAAGTAACAATTTAACTTAAATAATGTTTGTTTCATTATTTTGAAAGGGAGGGACATTTGGCACAACCTTTGAATTGCTATTGAATATTTTCATAATTCACAATGAATACATTTATTAAACTATTTCTTTCCTGAATGATTTCTGATGGTATACTGAGGATTGAATAGTGACACAAAACTTTTCCATATTCATTACATTCATAAGATTTTGCTTTCTACACATATTCATAGTTTAGCATTGTGTAAGTTATTTGATTTGATGCTTTGTTGGAATTCATTACTTTGTTGGAACTTATTCCTTGTGTGTCTTCTGATGTAAAAGAAAGTTTGATTTGTGGCGAAATGTTTTCTCACATTTGTTACATTCATAAGGTTTCTCTCCTGTGTGTATTTTCTGATGTTCAGTGAGAGTCCACAGTCGACGATAGGTTTTTCCACATTGATTACATTCATATGGTTTCTCTCCTGTGTGAATTCTTCTATGAACTCTGAAGGTTGACTTATGGCAGAAGGATTTCCCACATTCATCACATTCATATGGTTTCTCCCCAGTGTGAGTTCGCTGATGTTCAACAAAGGAGAACTTCTGACAGAAAGTTTTCCCACATTCATTACACTCATAGGGTCTCTCTCCTGTGTGTGTTCTCTGATGGTGAGTGAGGGCTGACTTCCTGCAGTAGGTTCTCCCACATTCATTGCATTCATATGGTCTCTCCCATATAGTTCTCTGATGTACAATGAGGTGTGAGTTTTTACTGATGGTATGCCCATGTTCGCTACACTCATAAAGATTCTCCTTTGTGTTCATTCTCTTACACTGACTGCAGTTTGACTTCACAATGGATATTCTACCACATTTATTAAATACACCATGTTTTTCTCCTGTGTGTGTTCTCTGATGCACAGTGAGTGTTGACTTATGGCAGAAAAATTTCCCACATTCATTACATTCATAAGACTTCTTTCCTCTATGAGTTATCTGATGGGCAATGAGGGCTGATTTCGTACATAAAAATTTTCTGCACTGACTGCATTCATAGGGCTTCTCTCCTGTATGACTTCTTCGATGCACATTGAGAGCAGATTGACAAAAGAAGGTTTTCTCACATTCATGACATTCATAGGGTTTTTCCCCCGTGTGAATTCTCTGATGTGCAGTAAGGGCCGACTGACAGAAGAAGGTTTTCCCACATTCCTTACATTCATTTGGCTTCTCTCCTCTGTGAGTTCTTTGATGTACAATAAGATAAGATTTCTTGCTGAAGGCATTTCCACATTCCTTGCATTCATAAGGCTTCTCCCCTGTGTGTGACCTGAAATGTTCACCCAGGGCTGACTTCCGAAAGAAGGTCTTTCCACATTCATTACACTCATAGGATTTCTCCCCTCTATGAATTTTCTGGTGTACAATGAGGGCAGATTTGTCCATGAAAGTTTTCCCACATTCACTGCATTCATAGGGTCTCTCTCCAGTATGAATTCTTTGGTGTCGAGTAAGGCTTGTCTTCACACGAAAAGTTTTCCTACAATCATTACAAACATAGGGTTTCTCCCCTGTATGAATTCTCTGATGTACAATGAGGGTAGATCTCCTAGAAAAGGTTTTCCTACATTCATTACATTCATTTGGTTTCCTTTCAGTCTGTCTCTCCTTCTGTGTAATGAGAATTGACCTCTTGAACAAAGTTTTCTCAAATTTATTATAGTCAAAAGGTTGTTTCAAAATCTGAATGTTCTGATGCAGAATAAGATTTTCATTTTGATTTCTGGCTTTCCTCATTGGAATGTATCTGTATTTTCTCATTCCCGAATGACTTTGCTCATGCTTATTATGGAATAATGGCTTCCCAAATCCACTGTACTCATCAGAAATCTTTCCGCTTTCTTTGCTTTTCTTTGCAACAATTACTTCTGAATTCGTTTTCAAATTGTTTCTTCCTGGATTACATTTATAGGGCATTTTTCTTGAAGGAACACTATTCATGCCCAGATTAAATGTTGTCCCAAATACATTCTCTCTTTCTGTAATCAGCATTTTGTTGCTGAAGAATACAGTTTGTCTCAAATGTTTGTCTTGGATTTCCTTGTTCTTCTCTAAGGCATCATCAACTTCTAGATAAAGAAAGACAATTAACAATAATTGGTGAGTCTTTATATATTTTCTATGCAATGAGAATGCCTTAGAAATGCATTGTTTTAGGGGTTAGACTTTAGGCCCAGCCTACCAAGATCAAACAAATTTCAAGTGCAAATATCTCCTACTTGGTTGATTTGAAGAAAAGCAAAAAATACAAAAAAAGCAAATCCATCCATACAAGCCAGTATTTAAGAGGGGGAAAGTACAAAGAAACTAGCAAAGAATACAAGTACTTTTGACACTTTACAAATACTACTAAACATTGAGTGTAAAAAGTAAATAGTCACATGGAATAGTACACAGAGCTGGAAATGTGCTGATGGAGTATTAAATAAAACACACAAGAGTCAAGTAAGCACTTAGAGAAAGACTGACACAGTGAGATCAGGTAAAACAGATGTCAGAAAGATGGTCTGTTACCTAAACACACAAGAAGAAAGTGCAAACCTTAAATTTTTGCAGTAACATGAAACTCTTGAATTTGTACAATGCAAAGGGGAATGGAAAGTAAGATTGTGGGCTGAGCAGAGCTGGGACTACAGGAAGGCAAGCAGGATACCAAGGACACCTGTACAATCCCGATAATTGAGTGTCTTCTTATATTTTGCATGCCAGGCACTTTTTTGCCTCACCCTACTCTGGATCCTGGGGAAGCTCATAACGGAAAGGGAAACCATGTCATTTCTCAGTTAAGTGATAGAGAGAAAAATGGAAGGCAACTAAAAAGATCATGACAGATCTCTGAATGTCTGAAATATGTATCTATGACAATGGTAGATGGGGCAAGGGAGGCAACAGAGAATGTTATAGAAATAAAGTTTAAGGTGTGTTAAAAGAGGAACTTTAATTCTGGGGATAGGTAACTTAGTGGCAAAATCTTTATAAATTTCAATTAGTTATTGGGAAGAACATTTCAGATGTTTACAGCAAGACAGTTAATCAACCTCAATCACTTCCAAAGGTCTGGGGTCAAAAGAAGAAATTCATGAAAAAATTACAGATGCCAACTATTGTCACTGACCACCAAGGAACACTCATTTCCGTTGGTTCCACCTGCTCAGTTATCATTTACTTACCTGGGTAGTTCTGATTTGAGAATTCCTCCACTATCCATGGTTCTTCTCCTTGCTCCAATTTGAAAATCACATCTGGTTTGCTAACAGGATATCCTGTTAATGGGAAATTACAGAACTTGGACCAAGATCTTTGGACATCAGGGACTCTGAAGAATGAAGAAAGTCCAGCTTCAGAAGCTGTGCGATGAAGATGCCCAGCAATAGCTCAGTAAAGCTAGAACATTTTGGTGAAGAGTGAGGGACGGGCAGTTAATACATACACATACTTCTACTCTCTAAAAGAGTTTAATCATCTTGCTCCCCTGATGCTCAAGGCTAAATAATTAAATTCTAGAAATCAACATATTTTTATAACACAGAAGAAATGTATGCTCTTGGGAGTTGTACAGGGAAATGGTCCTTACCCACAGAGACCAAGTTGCTGTAGTTCTCCAGCATCACATCCCTGTACAGGAGCCTCTGAGCAGGGTCCAGTTGCTGCCATTCCTCTTTGTTGAAGTTCACAGTTAGGTCCCGGAATGAAACTGATCTCTGAAAGAAAATGTTTGATCTCAAGTGATCAGAATTGAGTGATATCAAATGTATAGTAACATCAAATATAAGCAGACCACTGCAATGGCTAATGGAGTGCTATAAAGAGATATAATTGTGGGAGGGCAGAAAATTAAAAATCTGTCACTGTGTTCATTTTAAAATAAAATTTAAAAATGTACTGAGCTTATAACATGTCCTCGAGCTATTTCAATTGCCTGGATTACTAATCACATAAAATACTGATGTTGCTTTCAAGGAGCATACATTCTGACAGGGTGACAAAATTAGAAATGTACATCTTTAAAGAGCAATGCTGGACATACCCCCAAGATAAAGGGTGATCACAAAAGAAGAGAGTTTGCTCTGTTTTTTGTTACCCCTTCTTTGAGGGGATAACATTTTTAGTCCTGAAATAAAAATAGTATGTTTTATAGGATTGTAGGTAGCCATTAAGAATATACACAGACACAAAACACACATGGGGAGTTTGGGAATTACAAATCTCTCCATATGAAAGGATAGTAAGGAGTGGACAGAGCCCAGAGAATAAAGGAACTCTTTTCTCTAATTAGTAGTCTTGAAATCTAGATAGTATCAGCACATCAGCAAAACATTCTTGCACAACTAATATACATTTACTTAGAAATTGTAGTGTATTTCCAAGTTACTTCAAGCTATACATTAATATCAATAAAGATTAATTATTTTTTGATTCTTTTGGCTGAAATACCAATAAGAATAGAAGTCCAGTGGATTGCTGGGGTGCTCCCTATCCTCCACTTTGCAGACCACTGTTGTGAATAATGGAAATCCATAAAAAGGTATTTGTAAGCAAGGACTGAAGATTTGTGACCAAATATGTATTTTGAAACAATGCTCTAGAGTATAGGGGTTGGCAAACTACAACCCATGGGCAAAATCTAGGCTACTGGGAGTCAAATATGATCATGTTAATTTGCTTACACATGCTCTACGACTGCTTTCATGCCTCAACAGCTGTGCTGAGTAAATCCAACAGTCCACGTGGCCAGCAAAGTCAAAAATATTGACCTTGTCCTCTAAAGAAAACATTCGCTGTCCCCTACTCTAGAAAAATGGAAACTGGCTTAAAGGTCAAATTAGAGGGGAAGAAAACTAAGACACCACTGCAGGACATGAGCACAGGTAGTTCCTGGGAAATGGGAAGGAGAGAATCAGTCCTACATAATGAGAGGCAAGGGGAGTTGACCTCTAATTGATGTGTAGTAGATGTAATGTGCAGATTATTCCACATCATCAGCTGGGCTGATGCTAGTAGTATATACGGAGAATACGAAAACAAAACAAAAAAGAGAACAGAGCATAGGAAATGAAAGCACTGATCTTTACCATGCTGTGCCTGAAGCGTCTGTTGAGTAAAGAAGTAGAAATGTCTAGCCAGTAGTTGGATATATGGTTCTGGAGCTCAGAGGAGAGAGAGCACAGAGATCAGAAGCAATATTTGAAAGCATAAATAATGAGGAAGGTCTTCATGAATTGATATGAAGTGAAAAAAGCAAAGTATGAAAGGAATATCTATAATATTCTACCTTTTACGTAAGAAAGGAGAAGTAAGAAAACACATATGTCAGGGTGTGGTGGCTCACACCTGTAATCCCAGCACTTTGAGATGTCGAGGTGGGCGGATCGCTGGAGCTCAGAAGTTTGAGACCAGTCTGGGCAACATGACAAAACCTCTTCCTCTGCTGGGCACAGTGGTATGTGCTGCTCGGGAGGCTGTGGTAAGAGGATCACTCGAGCCTGGGAGGCAGAGACTGTGCCACTGCACTCCAGCAGCCTGGGTGACAGTGCAAGACCTCATCTCAAACAAAAACAAAAACAAAAAACCTCACCATATATAATCACAATGTGTACAAAAAACTTATGGAAAGGATACACCAGAAACTCATGAAACTGGTTGCCTTCAGGGGAGAGGTGGAGTCAGATGGAAAGAATGGAAGGATGGGAACAGGGTAGAAGGACTGACACTTCTCTAAAATAACTTTCTGTAAAGTTTTGATTTTTAGAACTACGGTAAGCTAGGTGTGGTGCCTCATGCTTGTAATCACAGCACTTTGGGAGGCTGAGGTGGGAGGATCGTTTAAACTCAGGAGTTCAAGACCAGCCTAGGCAACATAGTGAGACCTCATCACTCAATTTTTTTTTTTTTTTTTTTTTTTTTGTGTGTGTGTGTGTGCCACAAGAAGTGGCACATGTCTTCAGTCCCAACTACTTGGGAAGCTAAGGCAGGAGAACTGATTGAGCTGAGGAGGGCAAGGCTTTAGTGAGCTATGATTGTACCACTGCACTCAAGCCTGGGTGACAGGGCAAAATTCAGTCTCAAAAATTAAGTAACTTAAATAAGTAAGTAAAAAGGAAAGAAAGAAAAGAAAGGAGAAATGAAAGAAAAGGAGGGAGGAAAGAAAAGGAAAAGGAAAACAAGAGAAAGGGAAAGGGAGGGGGAAGGGGAAAGAAAGAAAATAGGATGAACCCTGCAAAATAACTAACCAGCAAAGTATCAAGGATCTAAGTGAAAAAGGACCGTTGTGGGTTGCAAGAGGCTAAGGAGACAGGACATTTAACACAACTTGGGTTCCTAGGTTGGATCCTTGAAGTGAAAAAGGATATTCATGGAAAATAATTAGCAGAATTTGAGTAAGATTAGATAAGAGTACTGTATTCATGTTAATTTCCTGGTTTTAGTCACTGTAATATAGTTCTGAAAGATCGGCGAAGTGAGGTGAAGGAGACACAGGTACTTTAGGTATGATTTTTCTCATTCTTTACATTTCAAAACAAAGCAGTAAAAAATAGTAGGGCTGCCTTCACCTCTGCAGACACCTGGGCTTTGGCCTGCTGTATGTCTCACCTCACTGACATGACTGTCCTGGGTCACCGCAGTCTTTCTTTTCTTTGAGCTGCTATACATCTTTCTACTGACACACTTTGTTAGGTAATTTAGTGAGGCCTTTCCCACTACCATCACTTAACTGTCTCTTACACATAAACTAGAAATAGTTACATTATCCATTTTATTTCCTCCATGAATTACTTCCTCCAAAGGACCTACAAGCTTCCTGAAGATTAAGAGTATCTTATAATTACATGCACAACAATAGACATATAAGGTCTTAACGACTAGAAAGAATGACTGGCAAAAAAATTAGAAACAAAAAGCCAGGGACAAAGAGTGCCAGAGAATTGGAGAGCCCTCACTAGAAAGTTCTGTACTCACTAAGGCAGACCCAGTACACTTCATAGCAGGAGGTGCAAAGTAAGAACAGTGAATGTGTTCACTCTGTGAGAAACTGAAAGGTGCTTATGACAAAAGAAAAAGAAACTCAATTCTCCCGGTGACTCAGGTCCACTCTGCAAGCAACGCTGTAAGCAGAACGATGATCCATTCAGAGCAGAGGAGAGTTCATACAAAACAAGACTATCCACAAAAAAGAAATGATGAGCACTACTATGAGCAGGCACATGGCTACTGAGGACATGTGCCTACATCTTTAAAGGCTAATAGTCTTACTTGTAAGGTAGACAGATAATGACCAGACCCTACATGCAATGCAGAGATGAAGACAGCCACCATTGCTCTGTAAGCACACAGTTTGTGGACACAGAAGATGGGGGCAGGAATGGGTCCTATGATGAGATGGCTCCTGGCTGTGGTCACAACGTAGACAGAAAAGGGGTAGAAAGTCAAGGAGCAAACAGTGGAAACACGGTTCAAAGCAGGAGTGTAAAATTTGGGGTATGTTCAGGAAACTAAATGCAGACCACCATCACTCTTCAGAGGGGCTGAGTGTGAGTGGTCCCTTCCACTGGGGGCATTTGGCACATCTGTGGAGACATTTTTGGCCGTCAAGGTTCTGTGGGATGCTGTCGGCACTTGGTGGAGGGAGAGGGAAGGAGGGATGGCAGAGACACTGCAACATGCCGGATCTTCTCCTACAGGAAAGAAATGCCCCAAATCCTGTATAACTTTCTAATCTTAAATATTCATAAAAATGAAAAATTTGTTTCTAATCATCTGAGCCTAGAACCTTACTCCATTTGGCACTGGAACGCATAGTATTTTTATACATATTTTATCCATATTAAATTTTCTTCAGTGTAACAGTGGATACATCAAGGGCAGTTTGAATTTGATTTGAACTGGAACTTTAGGGATTTTCACTCCTGAAAAACATCACTAATGGCAATGCTATGTACAGCATTCAAATCATGACACATCACTCCTGTATCAATATAAAACTTGTAATTATCATATTCATAGTGATTTAACCTAAAAGAAGTCTGTATAAACATCAAACTACTTTTTACGACTTTTACTATAGTTTTATCTGGACAAATCTATATTAAGATACATATTATTTTTAATTACTGTATTTATTTCTCCTCTATACTCGAGTTCTATTGATTTTTTTTTTTTTAGGATCTATTCATTGATTTAGGATCTCCAATCTATTGACTGATTTAGGATCTCCAAAATAGGCTATTTTGGAGATCCTAAATAATATAACCTACTTGTGTAATTTTCAAAAGGGAGGATGGCTTTTAGTTGAGACTTCCAGAAAACAGAGCCTAAGGCAAGGGCTCAGTCTGTATCATTTCATCTGGGAACTCCAGGCCAGAACAGCGAGGGTAAGGGAAGTAAGGAAGGGAGGGAAGAAGGGATGTAAACAGTGAGACACAAGGGACATTAGCATGCTGCCCACCACTTCACTACAAGCCCCAAAGAGGGGCAAGTTTCCTTAGAAGGAGTATGGGCTCAGCACATGCGACATCTCCAGGTGGACCACCAGGATGAAGTGAACTCAGTGCACAGAAGAGAGAAAGGGTGGGGAATTCATCTGCCCACCTCCTTCTCATTTTCCATTTCCCTTCATTCAAGGTTCACCCACAGTGAGTTAACTTGCCCACACTTCCAGGTTGCATCATCTGGCTCCACCATCTGGCCCCTCAGGAAGCTGGTACCATACCTTATGGTGTGTGGTTTGATCCAAATCTAAAAGAGGAGGCAGCCTGGTGTGAGTGGGTGGCATTAACTAAGAGTGATAAAGGAAATGGCTGACTATGGAAGGTTTGCATCCCAATACAGCTTGAGAAAAAGGATGTTCTGTAAATGGATATGGGTCTGACAGAGTGGAGAACCACCTCAGCACAGTTTGTATTGTTTGTGTAATATCTTTCTCCTTCACTAGCATGTGAGCTCCATGAGGACAAAGACAGTATCTCCTTCATTCAAGCTGAATGTAGACCATCTAGCATAGTGTATGACACACAACTGTTTGATCAACATACAGTTGTTGAATGAAAGGTCCAGAGTGGTAGGAATTAAGAAGGGGCAGGAAATGGTCATGACAAAAACAGCCTTATAGGTCATACCAAGGATGCTGAACTTGTATTCTGCAGCTGGCATGGAACCTCTTAAGTCATTTCTGTATTAAGACATGATCACATGGGCATTTTGGAGGAATTAGTCAGTCTGAACAACAGCCTTGAGGTGGGGAAAGGAAGGGAGGAAGGGGCCAAGCAGACTACTGAGAAAGCTATTAATATTATGTCAACCCATGAACCGAGGCAAAGTAGGAATGGAAGTGAAAGGACAAATTCAAGAAAGGTTTATGAGACATTAGCCAGCTTGACAAACATATGGTAGGAGGTAAGGAAAAGGGGAGATGAAGATGGACTTCCTTTTCCGGCTTGCCTCACTGGCCTGATGGGAGCAGCACTGACAGGGAATAAAGAAGAAGCACACTGAGCAAGTTGTAAACATTATTTGCATTTTGGACCCAAGGACTCCAAGTGCCTTCTGGACATGCTTACACAGATGTCCAGCAAGAATCTCAAGCTGAGGTTCTCAGGGGTAGAAATATTCCAGAGCATAAAGAGTCACAAGTTAAAACCACAAAGGGCATGAAAAAAATCAGAAAGAATAATGGGCTAACAATGAAATAGCAATGTTCATGAAACAAGAGAAGAAGATTTTATAAAAGATACGATTACAGGATGAGTGTGGCGGCTCACAATTGTAATCACAGCACTCTGGTAGGCCAAGGTGGGAGGATCACTTGAGCCCAGGTGTTTGAGACCAGCCTGGGCAACATAGTGAGACTTCGTCTCAATTAAAAAAAAAAAAAAAAAAAAAAAGACACGATTACAGAGCTACAAAAAGCATCACGCGAGTGATACCACAGAAATTATCAGAGGTGCATATTAGGGAGGGGCAGTCATACTGTCAAATGCAACAAAGAGTTTGGTAAAGTATGAACTGGAAAAGACTCACTAGGTTTGAAAACATTTAGGTTACTGCTAAATTTTTCCAGAACAGATCCATCACAGTGGTGGGGGCAGTCACAAGACTCTATCAAGTGGGTTGAAATGAGACAGGCACGTGAAGAAATTTTACCTACAGAGTATCACACTGAATTGTTCCCTCTAGAACTTGTTTTAAAAGATGGCTGTAATAAATAGTTATAGGGCATTATTTGGGGAGCATTATTCTATTTATTGCAGCTTTTATTCACTTATTCTAGGTCTTATCACTGGATCATAGACATCAGAGAGAACCAACAGAATGCTGCCTGCTCAGATGACACTGAGTTGGTTCCCTGTGATTACTATGCTCTGCTTGAGTATAGAGGTCACAAGAAACCAACAGCATTTCTTTCCCAGCTGTTTTTTGGCAAAGCTGCCTCTACTTCACTTATTCAAAGATCATCTAAGAAAATTTTTAGATATAAATGATGGGAAAACCACAAAAAATGCCAGTGTAAGGCCTACTTCATACTGTCCGGGCCTTTCTGGAACCATTTGAGTAAGTCTATAGAAATATATGTTTTCTGTATATCTATGTCTACTTTTCCAGTATTGATCAGATACTCTTCTCTGATGCTGAATTGTATACATTTCAATTTCATCTGCAAACTACTCTAAACCTCTTGAAATTCACTGTATAATGTGGGAAGTAAATCCCTGAGCAACTTACCTGAAATTTGTTCATTTTCGGGTTCTCTTGAGAAAGGGCCAAGAGTGTTAAAAGCAAAGCTGGGTAAGGAAGAATGGGGAATGGAATCATGAGCAATCTGGGTCACACAGCAGCTCTGCAATTACCCACAAAGACAGCCACACACCCATTTAAAAACATGGCCTTTTGACTAGTCTGGTTCAGGAAGCAACAGCTTAAGGAAATGTTCACTTGTCCATTTATAGTTCTAGAATGGTCACATAGAGTTTTTCTTACTGAGTGAATGTCAACAAATGTTTTCTACTTTATTATGGTCAATTTATGCCTCCTTTGAAAAAAACTGAAAACCTCTGAGTCCAATTAATAGAAGACTAGGTCAAGGAAAGTTAGTATATAGAAAGCAGGGAAGACTATTTTGGCATTAAAACAGGTTATAGGATTAAAAGATCTATTGGAATAGGAAAATGATATTACATCATTTACCTACTTTCCTACTAATGTGTTTAGCCACTTGAGAGAATCCGGAAAGAAAGAATCAAAGTGCTGTAAGATGTTTGTCTTTTTGAGTTTGGTCTACCTTCGCTGCAGTTTCACAAGAGGACCTTTTACTAGGAAACTTGTGGTAGATAACTTAAATGTAGTAGATGACCTGGTACTCAAGAGACTAGAATTCAATTATTGGCTCTGTTACTAGCAAACTGCATTACTGAGTATTTACTAAGTCGCAATTTTAAAATAAGTTAGTTTTTAGTCTTTTTTTTTTTTTTTTTACCCCTATCGTGTGGCTCTGTACGGGGTAAACTCAGTAAATCCCAGGGGAGGTGATGAACATGGTTTGTGCAGCTCAGAATAAACAAAGGGTGGAGATGGTAGGGAATTACATGAATGTGTTTGGGAAGTAATGAAGAAATCACTTCCTTAGTTATAACCAGTAAGGCTTCCCTCCAACCAAGGACTCTCAGATACCTCCAGAGAAGTGTCTTTTCCTGTCAAATCTGGACCCTGCCCACTCCCTTCAATTGCAACTCACATCCTTCTTCTAAAAGTTGAATTGAAATTTGCTCAGCTATAGTAATCCATGGCTGCAGGACTAAGTGCATCAGCAGTTCTGGAAAGAGGCTCTAGCTATTTGGATGTGCAAACGTTTCACCTTCACCAAGCACCTTCTTCAGGCAAATCAGGGCCCTAGAGAGAGCCCGCCCCGTGGCCTGCAGGTCAGGAGCCCAATCCCGCCCTGGCTGCCCGGCCTCCCGCACACAGGAAACCCTCCCTCCAGAGACTGGGAGAGCGCGTCCACCCTCCGCGGACCCGAGGCCAGTTCCGCCCAGCCCCACCGTTCCTTCCGACGCCCGAGTGCTCGCTCGGAGCTTGCTGCCAGCCCTTTCTTTAGCTTGCAGGTGCACCTGCTTCGCCTCCAGTTCGCACCAGGTACAGGTGACTGTGGGAGCAAGGATCCACACACAGCAAGACTTTCACCCGGAAGAGCCTGGCAAACCGGAAGCGCGTCCCGGTAAAGAACAGGAGGGTACATGCGCAGAAAGGCCACCAGGCCGCTTTTCCCGGGACTCTCGCGAGACCCGTGCCAGCTTTCGGGACCACAGTTCCCAGAAGGCGTCGCGGCCACCGCCCTGCCCTGAGGGACCTTTGAAGAGCTTCTGCTTTAGCTACAGGGCTTGGGTGACTACTGTGAATCATCAGTACGAGAAGTAAAGTTTCATACTCGTTTCACCGAAGGCTATAGATGAGAAAGGAAAATTCTGCGAAATGAAAATGACTGCGAAGGATATTCTAGCAGAGTATTAAGGGAATAGTACTAACGACCTGCAGAATTTCTCCCAAACAGGATACAGAATCGTTGCTGGCTCTTTTATTTTTATTTTTTTGTTGTTGTTGTTGAGACGGAGTTTCGCTCTTGTTACCCAGGCTGGAGTGCAATGGCGCGATCTCGGCTCACCGCAACCTCCGCCTCCTGGGTTCAGGCAATTCTCCTGCCTCAGCCTCCTGAGTAGCTGGGATTACAGGCACGCGCCACCATGCCCAGCTAATTTTTTGTAATTTTAGTAGAGACGGGGTTTCACCATGTTGACCAGGATGGTCTCGATTTCTTGACCTTGTGATCCACCCGCCTCGGCCTCCCAAAGTGCTGGGATTACAGGCTTGAGCCACCGCACCCGGCCATTGCTGGCTTTTAATACGTGAAAGCTGAAGATAAATCAGAGTATTTCTAAAGAAAATGATCTATTAGCCGTAACCCCATTTCCCAGAGATACCCAAGTTTAAGTTTAGGTGCACATTCTTCTGACAGTTTTATAAAGAGGAACTCATATGGGTCTAGTAATTTGCTATTATTTTAATCAGCAACACAGTTAATATACTTTAATGCCACAAATGATCACATATACATTGTGAGTAATATAGAAAATAGCTTTACACCCACAAGGAAAATAACAGTCATGCATGGCTTAACAGTGGGGATACGTTCTGAGAAATGTGTCTTTAGGCAATCTCACCTTTGTATGAGTATCATGGAGTGTTCTTACGCAAATCTAGATGATATAGCCTACTACACACCTAGGCTGTATGGTGTAGCCTATTTTTCCTAGGCTACAGACCTGTGTAACATGTTGTCCTGAATACCATATGTAATGGTAACACAATGGTATTTGTGTATGCAAACATATCTAAACATAGGAAAGGTACAGTACACATACAGTATTACAGTCTTATGAGACCACAGTTGTATACGCAGTACATTGTTGACTGGAACATTCCTATGTCATACATGACTGTATATGCATTGTATACATATAGAATAAATAGAATTTTCTAACACTTTACTCATTGGAAGGCATGAAAGTTGCTGACAAAGTTATGATGTATTATTATTCAATTCCAGAAGAAAACAGTTAGCAACTGGTGGTAGCTGGTCTTCAAAGATGGCACCCAATGAACTAAACTTCAAGAGGACTCCAGCCAGAGCCACCATCTGCTTTCAACTGCATGAAAGACCCTGAGTGTGGACAGCTTGTAAGTGAAACTTCAGGATCATGAAAGATAATAATAATAAATGATGTTGCTTTACACCAATAACCAATACAGATAGTCAGATAGTGATTGAGGACAGGAATTCCAAGCCAAAGGAAGGTATAGGTAGGGTTTACTACCAGACCCAAAGAACGAGGAGTTTCAGCATTGCAGGAGGGGAGGGCAGAGCAGGGCTGAGGGCAGGGGAGCGAAGGAATAGAGAGAGAGGGACAAGGGAAGAAGAAGAAAAAAGGCAGACTGGCAAGCCCACACTGTATACTGCGGTTTCCATGAAGGCCACTGAGTGGCAGCATTGGCACAGGCCAGTGGTTGTCAGACTGACCATTGCTTTGCCAGGCAACCTTGCTGTGAAAGCTGTGTCTGCAAAGTAAAGAAGTCCTGGCTGACAGCGAGTGCTGAGGAAGGCCTGGGAAGGCCTAGATCTTGCTGATACATCAAATAATGTCGACCTCCCACAGCTGTTAACCTGAGTCAATTATATGTGGTGGATGTGTTGTTTTTTATTCTGGTCCTCCTTTTTCTGAGAACAAACACTTCAATTTTTGGCAGGGGGGAAACTACACCACCACCACTCAGCTCTGCCATATAGAGTCCCATAGGCTGTGCACTGCACAACTCCAGAGAGTCCATCCATTTAGACTGTGCTGAGTGGTGCCTACTTGAAATGAGCAGTGCCTAACCTGTATGACTGTCAATAACAGCCCTTGAAAGATAGTCCAAGTTGCCCATTGTGCTTCTGGTCTAGATGCAGGCACATTATCTGAACCAAACGTATCATGGATTTGATTTTGAATCCTGAGCGGAATGTTCACCCTGACATGAATGCTGTGAAGCAACTTCCAGTTAGCTCCAGCTATATGGATCTCCAGAGTTCTCCCTGGTTCTGTTTTTTTTCCAACTCCAATAGAAATCAAATTCCCTTTTGATTTAGTTGCCCAGAGATACTTTCTCTTGCTAGCAACCAAAGAACTCCAAAAAGTCACAATCTATGCCTCAAACCTTTCTCAAGGAACCAGATTTCAGCAAAAGGTCTTGGGTATTAAGATTAAGGTTAGTCTTTATTCATTATCTATTCATTTATTCATCCAGCAAATATTTTGGGGGTACCTACTATGTGCGAGGCAATGTTTTAGACCAGGCGTCCCCAAACTACAGCCCACAGGCCACATGCGGCCCCCTGAGGCCATTTATCTGGCCCCCCGCCGCACTTTGGGAAGGGGCACCTCTTTCATTGGTGGTCAGTGAGAGGAGCACAGTATGTGGCAGCCCTCCAACGGTCTGAGGGACAGTGAACTGGCCTCCTGTGTAAAGTTTGGGGACGCCTGTTTTAGACTCTAGGACTCAGTAGTGAAGAAGCCAGACATGCATGGTTACTGCCTTCATATAGGCTGCCTATTCAAAATCTGGTGAGAAAGACCACAGTATGTAGGTGATTACAGAGAGCTATAGAATTCCGAATGGGGAAAAGTACTGTGAAAGAATAGAGTGGAAATGCTGTGTGGAAGATATTTCCACATAGGTAACATCTATTTTAGGCTTGCCACAAGCAAGCACTTTCTACCCTTTGTCACAGTTAATCCTCGGAACAGTGCTATAGGTTAAGTACTACTATAGATCCTATTTTACAGATGTATAAACTAAGCTTACATTAAGCATAACTGTACATTTAATAATTTAAAAATATAAATAGAATTTTCTCAAGACTTGGATCTTTCAATGATTAAAAATGGTTCAGTCCTGAGCAAACAGGGAGAAGTTGTCACTCTAATATATAACTTGGCTATGACCACACTGTTAGGAAGTGGTGGGGTAAGTATTGACTTCAGGTCTAGTTTTATCCTAAAGCTTGTGCACACAATGACTACCTGACAGGTGCCCTTGGGTGTTGTGGGCAGTGTGTGGAGAAAGGGGGGAGAGTGGAAGAGGCTGGAGGCAAGGAGGCCAAAAGGGAAACTGAGGCAATGGCCCAACACCCAATGGACATGGAGAAGGGAGTAGCTGATTAGATGTGAAGGGTGGAGAGGACAGAAGATCTGGGATGACACGGGGGGTTAGGTGTAGGGGTGGGGTGGAAGTGGTCTGTGAGGAGGAAGAATTCAAGGTTGGCCATGTTGGGTTTGCCATCTGGGCCCAAATGCCAGTAGGCAGTTGGAGAAGAATCACAGGGTTAGAGAATCCTCATAGCTCAGCTTGTCAGCACCAAGAGCCATGTTAGAGATCAATATCAACCAAGGGTCCTGGCTGCAAGCAGCAGATACGGACTCACAAACAGAAGCAAAAAAGGGCACTTTTCAATAAAGATGTTAAATATAGGCGACTCACGAGGAGGCTTATGAAACCAAGTTAGAATATGGGTGGGAACCAAGGTGGGGGGGTGGTCGGAGTCAATCACAGGATCACCTGGCAAGGATGCCACTACCACCATTGCACCCGGAAAGTGGATGCTAAGCTGCTGTCACTGCCTCCAGGGCCACTGAATAATGGAAACCACTACTGCTGTTGCTGGCATAAAATAAATGCATGAAAGAGTGCGTTTTCCCAAATGCGCTCTTCTGGTGCATTTATATGTGTTAGTTGGTAGAGGCATCTGTTTGTCTGAACTTAGGTCACATGGCCCATTCCCAAGTGCCAGGGGGCAGAGAAAGCAGATAACCAGCTTTTCAGGTTTCCCTAGTGGGAGAAGGTGCCCTGCCTTCTAGCAAGATTTACACAGTGAATAATTTGCCATATACAAAGGGGATGATCAGAAGTGAGGTAACCAGAATGAATGAATAAACGAATAAAAATAAAATGTCTAGTACAACTTCTGCAGCTCTCAGATACACTCATGTCATTTTATAGATGATGCACAGAGAAAAATCCTGTGGCTCAATGAGCAGAGCTGTCCAAAATCATCCCCAGCAAGTTCTCATGAGGTTGCACGGAACTTGAAGCAACTAAGTCATTGCAATAGACCGAATGTTTGTGTCCCCACAGAATTCATACATTGAAATCCTGAAATCCTAACTCCCAGTGCAATGATATAGGAGGTGGGGCCTCTGGGAGGTGATTAGGTCATGAGAATGGAGTCCTGTCAATGCTACCTTTTTTTTTTTTTTTTTTTTTTTTTTTTCTGTTCTGGATCACTTGGTCTCAAAGAATTCCTAAAAAGTTCCTCTTTTTAGGGGAAAAGCTTTCAAGAACTTCATTAACCACACTTAAGTTTCTGGGACTCAGTTAACTCCTTCTCCCAAGGACATGTGTGTATCTGGGAAAGGCAATGCTTAACAACTTCCAATAAAGCACCAAGAGTGACTTGGTATCACCTGTGGAGAATAAGTACCAGTAAATTGTTTGGGGAGAGGGAGTGACCCAGGTTCCTTAAATTGAAACAGGGACACCATGCCTGTTAGTAAGTCTGGTCCTGGTGGCCTTTGACCATCCTCCTTCCCCATACTAGGAGG